ACTCAGTTCCAATGTGGAGACAGGCAAATTTCCCTGCTACTCTTTTTCTCTTGCCCCTTCCCACAAGTTTTTGTGCGCTCCCTTTATTTCCACGGCAACCTGATTTCTGCTCCCTGCCCCCATCATTCCACTGAAGTTGTTCTTACTAAAGTCACAAGTGAAACTTTTTACTGAATCTAATGGACCCTCCTAGACCTCAGACTTTCTAATGGTAGGGCTGCAATTGGTAATTTTGACTGCCACCTCCTTATGCTGTCCCTGTAAAAACTTTGCCCTCTGGGTCCTTCCTCCTCTTTGTTGCCACCTTTCCTTTGTACATTCCCATCGCTGTGTCTCATTCATTTCTGTGTATCCAATAACTTGAATAGTCAAAACGTGAAAGCAGAAAGTCAAAGGAAATTCTAGAAGAAAAGACTTAGAAACATACAATACATATCTAGAGGAATGTGATGTATTATTGATTTATGTAACAGGTTAAGTGAGAAACTGAGCCACGGCAATTGCAAAGCAACCAAGTGATCTAATCTTCCTTTAAGGCACAGATGACATTATTCCAAGCCTCCATCTTACCTGCAAAACTTTGCCTTTCATTGTGCCACACTCCCTGAAAGGAAGGAAATTCTAGTGGCTCCCCCACATACTGCTCTACATCAGGAATTGGATTGCCTGCAGATCATGGGAAGATGTTTGACCAATGTGTCCTTATGTCGAGTCAAGGTGCTGTGATCCTCTCTAGGCCCAGGAAGAGGTGAAAATCTCTTTCTCCTCATGCCAAAACTGAACTGCAAATCGGCTTAATAAATTTGCTAACAATGTAGACAAATATAGCATGTGTTGAGCTTCATTCAGAATAAGATTGTGGATTTATGTTTGTAAACAAAAATAGCAACTCCAGATGAAGAACAATACTCTAAAAAAGAAATCCAAATATCTTCCCAGAAAAATGAAAACTATTGGCAAGTTTCTTCACTGCTTTCAGCCTATATGCTTTTAGAGATGTTCCAAAGTTTCATGTTTCACCTGTACTAGTGTGCTGGGGCTACAACAACAAAGCACCACAGACTGAGTGGCTTGAACAGCAGGCTTCTGTTCATAATTCTAGAGGGTTGGAGTTCAAGGTCAAGAGTTCATAGGGTTGGTTTCTTCTCAGACCTTTCCCCTTGGCTTGTAGATGACTATCTTCTCCCTGTCTCTTCATGTGCATTTCCCTTTGTATCTGTGTCCTAATCTCCTCTTGTTGTCTTAAAAATACATATTTTTTTCAGATGGGTTTTACTATGTTTCCCAGGCTGGCCTTGGACCCTTGGGTTCAGGTGATTATCCTGCCGAGGCTGACTTTGAACACACAATCCTCCTACCTCAGCCTCCTGAGCTGCTGGGATTAGAGGTGTGTGCCACCATGTCCAGTTCTGTTTAGTTTCTGAGGAATTACCGTGCTATTTCCCACAATCAGTTTATAATCATTTATATTGCCTGTACAATATTCCATTTTGTTTCTATACCTTAACTTACTAAGCAATTCCAGAATCCTTGTTTCCTGAGGGTCTCAAGTTTTCATTTTTCCAATTCAGAGAGAATTATCAGTTCAGATTTAGACAATTTTCTGGGTATTCCCCGCCCCCTCCAAGTTTGAAAATAACTTATATACGTATAGCATTCCTCCTGATAGCTAATGATTGAAGATTTCTTTTTCTTTGCTCAGTGTTACTTCATAATGATTTCACCTTATCTAGGAAATCTGTCCATGTGTTATGGTTGGGATGTGAAATGTCTCCCAAAGTCATGTGTTGAAGGTTTGATCCCAACGCAGGAATGTTCAGAGGTGGAGCATTGAGGAAGAAATTGGATCATGAGGCTTTGCCCTCATCAGTGGATTAATCCACTGATAGGTGAATGGATTACTGGTGGGGATTGTAGTGGGGGGAGGGTTTGTGGTCATGTTGAAGCAAGCAGATCACTGGGGGACATGTCCTTGGAAACTATCTTTTCTCTGGTCCTCTCTGCTTCCCGGCTACTATGAGGTGAGCAGTTTTCTTCTAATATGTCCTTCCACCATGAAGTTCTGCCTCACTTCAGACCCAGAGCAATGGAGTCTGGCCAACCCTGGATGGAACCCTCTGAAACCATGAGCCAAAATGAACTTTTCCTCCTCTAAGTGGTTTGTGCTGGGCATGTGGGTCACAACTAACATGCATGGATGGGAGCCATCATCTTTAGCTGGACGTGTGCTTTCCCATGTGGTAGCCCCTAGCCATATATTAAACTGTGAAAGTGAAATGAAGTCAAAAATTATTTTCCTAAGTTGCACTAGGCACATTTCAATCGTACAATAGGTTGGCACTACTGAATTTTGCAAGACAGACACAGATATAGAACATTTCCATAATCTTAGAAGTTCTATGGGAAGTACTTCTCTAGGCTACTTTGACTCTGACTCCTGGCTGTGGCTGAATTAGACCCCATGAGTTACTCCCAGAAATGATTTAGTCCTAGAGGACAGGTCAATAACCATTCACAGGAGAATGCCATAAACTCTAGGAAGTGAGTGTTGTAATTTACAATTTGTATTATCTCTTTCAGTGGCTGGAATACTCCCACCCACTATCTCCCATATAGTGTTTTTTTCAGAATGTAAATTAGTGGTCTTCAGTTCTTTGGCCATGGCCCAACTAATCCAAATGGGGTGAATTAAATTCCTTGCTTCCCTTAGGAATCTGAAACTGAGGAGGTCCTCTGGCTTTCGAAAACTATAAAACCAGGAGTACTAGTCACATTCCATTATGTAAAACAGAGTTTGCTAAGAAACACAGGAAGTAGAGGGTATGTTTTCTGTATTTTGATTCATGTCCCTTTTTTTAAGCTCAGCTGCATTCCTAACTTTGGATTACATGAGAAAGATCTGTAGCTTAATGGTGAATTCTTAGCATCCTAATCCATACATATATACACACATACATGTAATACAGATGAATTCTGGTGTTTTCACATTGCCTACAAACTTTGTACAGTCTGGGCCCCTGGATGTTAGCCCCTTCTAATCTTTCTTGATCCTTCTCCCTATTGCTTTATCTCCTCATCTTAAGTGCATTTGTTCTGTCCTCTGCTTTTCTTCCCTCTTTCCCTGATAGAAATATGTTCTCTACTATCTTTGTGGGTATGAAAACTTTATTAAATCAAATTGTGTAACATGTTAACAACTGATTTTACTCTAGCTCAAATTGCACTTTAATCATTCAAGCCTATGTAATTAACCTTTGACTATGTGTGACTGAATAAATAATCTCTCATAGGCCCAAGTGCTAAATTTTGATTAGAAGAACCTGCCTTTGAACAGAACTGAGTACGACACTTCCTCAAGTCCCAACCTTCTACTTTGGCGTGAGTGATTAGGACACCTCTTGCAGGGTCAGCTATGAAAAGAACATGAGCAACAACAGGTTGACTGGGGGAAATGCACAGACAGATGTCCCCAGTAAGAAAATGATGCATGTTGGTTGTTAAGTAACACAGACATGGCCAGTGTGAACCATTGGCAGAGGAAGGGGAAAGTGGTATGCTTTGTGGTTTTCAGGACCTTCAGGCCAGGGCAAGAGGCTCAGTATTGGAGTTGCAATGGAAGTGCATTAAAGGGATTTTATTTTAAGCAAGGGAGTGACCCGATCTGATGTGTCTAAAAAAATCTTTCTGGCTACTGTCTGTAAAATGAATAATGACAAGATAAACAAGGGAATAGTTAGGCTACTGCAGGTGTTGGCAAGAAAACATCATGGCTAGGCATATGAACCCAGGCAGTGGAGACAGAGAACTTTGTGTCAGCATTTGAGATATATGAGGTTAAAAATGTAAGCTTTTTCTCATTAGGTTTCCCCTTTTACCTTCTGAGTAGCCAGCCCCTATAACAAAGCTGTCCAGTGAAATAGATTTAACACCTAAAATGTCTGGAAGGCCTTCCCTTTTATTATATGTGACTCTGGGCTCAGCTCTTAGGAGCAATCTTGATTCCATCAATCCCCCGGCGGAAATTTCTCCTGTTCCTGTCCTCTATTCCTTTTTCGTGGAGCTGGGAAGGATTGTTGAAAAACGACTTTCAACAAGAGGACAATAGTGTTTAAGGGTCAAGTGATACACCCCCAAATTTTAACTTCAAATAAATGTTAGTTCTCAGACTGGTATGGATTATTGCACGAAACCGGAGCGAAGGCATTTTGCTAGCATGTCTTATTCTGTCTAGGATATTTTACATGCATCCTCTTACTCCGAATAATCTAGGGCATAATTCCTTTGGATTAACTTCCCCGAAGATGGACTCTCCTTTACCTACCCCGATGGTGTGCAGAATTCTGGCACCCGCTCCCGCCGCGCACAGGCACACACACTCATTGTCTGGGCCCCACGAGACCGGGCTCCTGCGCAGCGTTCATTTCCTGCACGGGGCTGGGGCGTGCGAGCTGCCCTGCCCGCCTGTCCTCATCCGGATCCAAGGATTTTATTTCTAACATTTCCTCCCCAAGTTCCTACGCCGCTTGGGCACACAGTCACCAGATGAAAAACTGGGAACTTTTGTTTTGGCAGATAACCTTTAGGCCACTGTCCACTAAAGTTCTGAAAAACCAACTAAACCAAGCCGCTCCTGCAGAAGCCAATCCACAGGGGAACAACGGAAATGGAGATTCTGTTGTTCCCAGAATCGGCCACTTAGCGGGCACATTCAGATTTTTCCTACAGCCGCGCTTAGAAGCGGCCTCCTGCGCGGGACACTGCCCGCCAGCCGCTAGCGCTCCGCAGTTCTGCAGCGCTCGCTCCCGCGCCCCGGGCGGGGGCGGGGGCGGGGACGAGCTGCCGCGAGTAGCCCCCCGCAATCGGGCCTGCGGGCGGCGACGCTCTGGCCGGCTCTGGCTCGATGGTTTCCGCGCGGCCGCCGGGCCCGCGCGGTCCAGTCGCCAGGGGGCGCGCTGGCTGGCGCCGCCGACTCCGAGGTGCGCGGCCCGATCGTGTCCGCCATATTGGATGCCGCAGCCGCCGCTGCCAGCGCTTCCTCCTCTGTCTTCGCCGTGCGATGCTGGTTCCTGCGGCCCAAGCGGCGGGGAGGTGAAACAGGAGCCCGTGGGAGGAAGAGGAAGAAAGGGGGTGGTGAGAGTAGGGACGGGGCCTGCGGGTGGGGGACCGAGACCGAGCGGGGCGGAGAAGAGAAGGCGCCGCGCCAGCCCCTCCCCCGCCGACCCGCCCCGGCAGCGCCTGTGTTCCCAGACCGGCGCTCCGCCCGCCCCAGCGGCCATGCCGGGGCCTCGCTGCCCCTGAGGAGCTTCGCCTGCCAGTGCCTGTCCTTCCGCGCCCGCCCGGATCGCAGCGGCCGCTCTCCCGCCGGCGCCCGCGCTTCGGTCTCCCCTCCCAGTGCAGTGGCCGCCGCCTCTTCCGCCGCCGGGCTCGGGGCCTCCGCACAGACAACATGGAGGCCGTGAAAACCTTCAACAGCGAGGTTGGTATCGCTGCCGGGCCGACCCTCTTGCCCACACCGACGCCCCCCCCCCACTCCCGGGCCCGGGCCCGTGCCCGCGCGCAGAGGGTGGGCGCGGGCCCGCGGGCTCCCCGGGCGGGGCGCGGCGGCCTAGCCGTGCCCGTGGGGGAGGGGTGTGCTTCGCGCCCCTCCCCCGGGGCCGAAGGGGGGCGGGAGGGCGCCGCGCGGGGGGAGGTCCCGCAGGCTCCGCGCCCTGTGGATGGCTGCGGGTCGGAGGCGAGGCCCGCTCGGGCCCTCCCCCGGAGCCTCGGGCGGTCTCTCGGGGTCAGTTCCGCCGAGGCCTGGCCCGCCCACCTCTTTCCTGGGCCTCGGAAATTTTTAACTGTTCGCAGAATGACACTCTGCGGACCTTCCCGCGCCCTCGGTGAGGCGGGCACCTATGGGGCAGTGGGCGAGAGGAACCCAAGGGGTGGAGTGTTTATAATTGAGACTGTTGACTCGGTAACTTGCCGACTGCGGACTTAGGCCAATGAGCTGTTTGGTAAGGAGGCGAGGATGTTCTACGATTTATTTCTATTTGTACTGCCCTCCTTATCCATCACGACGTAAAGACACATCTTTATGGTAGGGAGAGATCTGTGCACGCAGGGACGGAGGCAGCTGGGGGAATCTGTTCCCAAGGGGTCAATCACGTGTCAAAAGGTTTTTTTAAAAAGCAGGTATCCGATTTTCATTTTTCAATTAAATTTGTTGGTTGGACGGAAGGTTTCCATACAATTTGTAATTGCTTTTTAAGCTGTGATTTCACTAGATCTTAATGCAAACATTAAACATCAGGTAAACAGTCACACAACAGAAATATTTTTCCAATCTGTATGCCTTTTAAAAAATACTCCAACGTGTTGGTAACTAAGTTAGCATAGTTTTTAAATGAACTTTTGATTTGGAAATGCTAATACATTCAATAATGTAATTGTTAATGTCTTAAATACTGACTTCTTAAAATACTAGATTTATGATCACCCAAATATAACAACACTTTTAAATGCCCATTTACAATTTTATTTTATTTTATTTTTTTACATTTTAAGAAATAGCATTTGGGTAGCTTAGCAAACAGGCTAAACGTTAGATTACATTATGTGAATAGGACCCTCCATATTAGACTAGATAGTGGTGACACTTGTACGAACTTTTTTGCGAAGGACTTTGTTAGGTCGGTGGCAGCGACTTGGTTGCTGCCTGCCCAGCCTGATCTGACAGACTTGGTTTTTTTTTTTTTAGTACTAGAGCTTTATTTTTTTAAAACAGCTTACTAATAAAAATTAGAGCAATAGACTTGGGAATCTTTTCTTTTTATTTATGAATTCATACCTGATAATTTTGGGACAAATATCTTCACATAAAATTTGGCTCTCGCACCCAATACTTTGTTGTACTTAGAATATGAAACAAGAATTTAGTGATACTATATGTTTAATTTGTTAATAGTTTCACAACTGTACAGGAAGAAAAATAGCTATGTAGCTTTTTTATTTGCTACATATAGTATTTGCAGCACTAATATTAAGGTTTTTAAAAACTCCCTTCCATTTTAGGGGCATCTCTCTTTGTTTAGGAGTTTTGTATTATGTATTCTCCCTCTACCCCCCCAGAAGGTTTACAGGAGCCCTCAAGTGGTAACCTAATGGTTAGTGCACTGTGGTTGGTCACAATAAAGCATAGTAGAGAAGAAATATCACTGTTTTTTTTTTTTTTTTTTTTTTTTTTAGTATTGGTTAAGTATGAGGGGCCTAACATTTACTGCCTAGCTGAGTTTACCACCTCTGTTTCTTATCTAATCTTTATAGGAACTTGAGATTTTTGGTAGTCCTATTTTAGTGTATATGTAGCACTCTCACTCCCCTTTTAAGTTACAAAGAAAAGTCTTTAAACTTTATTTACTGATAATGCTGTAAGTTTATGTTTTAAGATGGGGTTAGCTTAAAACTAGCAGTATGGAGTCAGGGTTGAGGAAAGGAAATATGTTTGAGTAAGACTCAGAATATGCATTTTTTTGGTTTAAAAAGATCGATTATAAAATTGAATATTGTTAATTAGTGAATGTTTTTGTTATAGTAAAAAGTTTATGAATTAATGTGTTCCACTAAATCATGTTGTAAAGTATGAAAATATAGGAATCTGGGTTATAGAAAAAGTGATGTTTTAGAATGCTTGCTTATAATGAATTTGGCTTTTAAAAGCATTTATCCTTCGGCTCAGTTCATCAGAACTTTGGTAAATTTAAAGGTGTCTTTGAAGCATTGAATTGTCAAGAAATTCCTTTTGCTTTATAAAGCATAGAAATTTATGTCTGAAATTATCAAAGTTTAAGATGTTTGAAATATGAATGCTCAGATTCTATGTCTTGCTAATTCTCAGGTTTTCCCAAACTGAACTTCCCCACGCATGTTTTAATTTTGCAGAGAATTTTGGCTTGAAAATAAGAACATGCTACATTTTTAAGCTAAGAATGTAGATTTTTAAATTTTGCAAAATGTGAGTTTAGTCTGTGGAAAATCCTGATCTTTTATAGGATATGTATGTATCGTTATCATATCTCCCCCTACCATTATAATTTCTCAAAAGGATTCTGGTTCTTTCAAGAATTATGTGGTAAATTCCCCTTAATTATCATGAATTGAATGACATTTAGGCTCAAAAAATGATTTTTGTGTGCTCAGTGTGCTAATTTTGTATGGAAACAATAATTTCTATTTAAGCATCATCACTGAGATCAAAGCATCCCATGGCTGCTATTGTCAGTTTTGAAATAATGGAAGTAAATTTGCCTATGTTGGAAGATAAGACTCTCTAAGAGTCAATGCTTGACCAGACCAGTTAATCTTTGAAGAATTATCATAATAAGGTATTATAATTTTATTGCTCCATGGTTGTAGTATTTACTTGTTCTAATGTTAGAGTTTCACCTAGGGTATGGTAGGTGATACATGCTGAACTATTTAAATGTGTGGTCCTCTTTAGGACTATGGTTGACTACTGGAAAGTAGCAGTTTTATATGTGAGCTACACATCCATATTCTGTATTTAAGAATGATCACTGTATGGAGATCATTCTGGTAGAGTCTCTCTGCCTCTGCTTCCTTTTTGAAAAGAAGGGAAGGAAAGAGAATGACAATGTCTGACCTTTCCTTTAGAAAATTTCAAATTAATTCGGAGAAAGCATTTTTTTAAAAAAAGCATTTTAAAGTAATATATGAAAAATATAAGAGCCTGTTAGCATTGATTGTGCTTACACGAAGTAGCTAGAGGAGGTGAGACTTATGTGTTGGATTTTTATAATTTTTGAAATCTTAAAAAAAAATAATCCCAGTATTGTCACACTCCAAAATATTAGCAGTAAATCTTAATCAGTGTTCAATTTTTTTTTTTTTTTTTTTAGCTTCTTTGTATAGCTAGTTGCACTACTCCATTCTCCCCCTACCCGCCATGATCCATTTCTCTTGCTACCCTGAATAGACTGAGTAGGAAGATGTAGGACTCGATCTGTAGGTTTGAGATGTGTCAGAAATCTTTTTTTCAGTTTAATTTTTGGATTTACCTTGGCTCATAAACTCTGAAAGGATTTTGTTACCTTTTACCTTTAGGACACTTAAAATACTTGGTGTCTTTTGTCCTTCAGATCCTTTGATTAGGTAGCTTACTCTTGAAACTGTTAACAGGATACAAACTTCAGACTCAGTCTAATATCCAGTACATTTTCCTGTCTATAAAGTGAAACCCATTTCTGTTTTCCTTCATTTTCAGTTTTGTATCCAGAGAGTATTCATTTTGTCTAAACTATGGGACTTTTTATAATCTTCTCACCAGTATCAAGGAGTAGCCTTGGTTTGGTAGAGAAAAGTGGAAAAGGTAGCGAGAATAATAAAAACATATTTGTTTCAATTTGTATGTTTTTTTCTTTGTCTATTGTTCAGAAAAGAGAATTTACATGAAGCAACTCTGAAACATTGTGCTTTTCTTTGATTTTCATCTACTAGGGAACTTCTCATTATTCTTTCCTGTGTTTATTTTATAGTGGGAGTTCTGATTAATTGTGTCAGGCCATATTTGTTATCACCTTGGTAAAAGTCCTTTAAAGAAGTAGCATACTTAAGTTGTAGAGGAAGGAAGCCTTCCCTAACCCCTCTGGTTCAGATCAGGATTTCTCAGTGTTGATACTGTTGGACTTTTGGATTAGGTAACTGTTTGCTGTGAGGCATGATCCTGCATCTTGAGAATGTTTAGCAGCATCCCTGGCCTTTTCCCACTAGATATCACTAGCACTTTCCCCATTTGTGACAACTGAAAATGTCTCCAGGTATTACCATCTTTGGGGAATGTCCTTGATTGAGAACCACTGATTGAGATTTCCTTTTAAGTGTCTAAAGACATCTGTACTTTCCCTTCCAGTGTTTACTATAATTAGTCTTTGCCACTGAATTAGAAGAATGACTATATATTCTCATTGCTTCATATCCTTGGTACACAGGACAGCACTTTAATCAGTAGTACATGTACATACCAACAAAAAAGTTCTTGAATGAATGGATGGGTTATATACTAACTAGGTAACTGAATGACCTTGGCCAAGGTAGTTAGCATTTTTCGATATTTGGTTTTTAAATAAGTTACTGATTTGATTTTACATTTAGATTCCCTGCTAGTGGTACAATTCTTTGACTAACTTAATATAAAGTTAATTTTATGAGGATTTATTATGCCTAAGCAGTACTATAAAGGTTATTTTTATGGCACTGTAGGAATATAGGAGATTAGGTGGAAATTTTTAAATTTAAAATTTTTATCTGATTATAATTTTTACTAAAGGAGGGGCGGGGACTTTTTGATTGAAAATTCTAGTGGGGTTAAATTCATCTTGGTTTTATGTTGTTTAGTAATTATACTCTGTTTTCTTCATTTTAAAATGATGATATGGTAAAAGACCAGTTTAAAAAATTGAGGATACAAGGATAATTGAG